TTAAGAATTATTATATTTCTTCTTCTCTTAACTATTATGGTGATGGATATAGTCTCCTAGCAATCAAAAAAGCTAAAGGGTATTCAGCGCTAAGCAATAACTGGAAAAGTCCAAATGGCAGCTAAATCACTGGAGCCGGGGGCTCTTGTCCCATCCACAAACAGATGAAAGTACAAGGAATGGTGCAGTGCCTAAAATGTCCTTAGTGGTATGTCATTGTCCAAATAAATAGAATAAAACAAAAGAAATACACTCACGATTTACTGGAGCTAAAATTGTAGCTCCAACTTGAATGTCTGGCGGAACAATCCCCGCCTATGGATATAGTGTGGTTCTTGGTGGTTGCAGTCACTCAAATGGTGGAAACATAAGCAGCTCTGCGGATATGGGTTTAGGATATTAAAGGTGTAGTGCCCACTTGTAATTATAGATGTTATTCTTTTCCCTCCAGAAATATAGGAGAAAAAGGAAAAAGAAAAAACAAAATAGTGTGTACCGTAAGGCACAGAATACAATTAAAGTGGTAAGAAATGTACTCACATTTGATGGAGCAGATGTAGACTGCTCTATCCCTTGGGCTTGGAGGGTACAATCCCCACCACAGATACAGTAGTTCAAGAAGAATAGCAGCAAAGGTTGGTCCAATAAAAAAGTATTTTTATTTAAAGGTAATTAATATAAAAATATAAAACAAGAATAAAAAAAACCCATTCAAAGTGAGGTAGAAAATAATAATAAATACACTTAACGCGTTTCACCTGGCAAGATGCTTTCTCAAAAGTGTTTTACAGACATGGGGAACCTAAACTGCTTAAATAGGGGCTTGAAATTTTAAAATGTCTCCTAGCCCCATGTTCCCTCCAATAAATACTTTGATTTCCAAGGACAAATTGACTCGCCACTCCAAATATGCTACCTTGTACCAAATTATCTCTAAATTCTCCTTAGGACGTTTTTGGGATCTAATTCTCCACTACTATTTGCCCCATTCTCAACCCTGTTTCTTTCATTGCCTGACCAAATTGATGTGTTTACTGAATTGTGTACCCCTTCCACCTACCAACTCAAGAATTGTATACCTTTCTCCAGGTCAAACATATCCTACTTGTGCATAATTTAGAGTTTAATGATGACTCAGTACTTTCACCTATAGGTAAACAATGCCTACAAGGTAAATCTGTAATCTTCTCACTATATGCAACTACCAGCTGGCCGTTTCTGCAGCGACTTCTAAATTGCCATATATGGCACAATGAAAGAATATACACATTGGGTTACTAGCCGCAAAAATTGTGGTGCCTGGTTTTGCAGTGCCTTTCCAAGATCTATCCTGGGTTGTCCTGGGTTCTTTTGAGCAAATGTATTAACTCATATTTCTATATTCATAAGATTGGCTAATTCCATGGTGTATCTTTTTTGTTCCAAACTCTTCACTTACTGTCCCAGTATGTCAATCAAGTTTTGTTTCACTTTAGTTTTTGACTTGTCTACCTATTGTACATCATTGAGGAATATGCTGGCACTATATAAATGTAAATGTAAGATATATATTTTTTTAAATTAAAAAAAAAAAAACCTTTACAAAATATCTAAATGCAAAGGAAAACTTCAATAGAGGAGATTGCCATAATTCCAAATTGGAATGCATTCTCATAAGGACATGACAATGAGTCAGAGCAATATTTCAATGAATGCCAATAACATTACAATTGTAGAAACAAAAAATGATTGAAACATATTGATATATGTGATGTGACATTCATAAGTGACCCTCACAAGTCAAGTATAATTAAAAATATTACACGCTTAGCATTGGATATTCCTTGAGTATGTTATTGCATTTTCAGAACAATACATATTAATTATTGATATAGCTTTGAGGCTAAACTTGCCATGTCATTGCATGGTGCGTCAGATAGGACAAATAGGAGGGGGCTCTGATATTGAGATCTTTACACCAAAAATGAATAGATAAATGAAATAATTAAACAAATAGAAAAATACATTTAATTACGAATCATTGACAGCTTTTTTTAAAAATAATTCTTTATTTTTCTTGTGCAAATAAAGTCAGTCATTCTCAGGATGCACTGATAACAACTTTGAGTATGGCATTGCATGGTAGAAGGCATATCAAGATTAATGCACACTTTTTTTTGTTGTTGAATATAGACATTGACAAATTAGATTAGGCATTCCTGTATAAATGCTGACGATGAGTAAACAGAAATAGAAATAATAAGACGTGGAAAGAAAACTGAAAAGGGGAAAGCCCTATATTTCAACATGTAACTTTCCAAACCCCATACAACCTGCACATGGGGGGTACTGTTATACTTGTAAGACATCACTGAACACAAATATGTATATTTTATTGCAGTAAAAGCTGACAGTTGTATGACATTCACAATTAAAATGACGATGCAGAGCTAAGAAAATACAATTTCTTTATTGTTCACACTTATTTTCTAAATTTTATTTATATTAAAGTATGTTTCATATATAAATATTTGATGCGAAATGAAAGTCCTATTTCTCCTGAACAAAATGATATATGATAAGTGTGGGTGCACTTAATATGAAATGTAAATTATAGTTGAACAGATATATATCTCAAATTCCAGGTTTTATTTTGGTTTTAATCAGAACTTGTACAATTACTTCCATCCTTAAGAGGTTAACATAATAATAACATAATAACAGTATGGGTTTAACCACTTAAAGACAGAAGCAATTGTACAAGATTCGAACCAAAAGAAAACCTAGAATTTGACTACATGTTTTTCAACCATAATTTACCTCTTTCATATTAAGCACACCCACACTCGTATATAATTTTGTTCAGGAGAAATAAGGCTTTCATGTCACATCATAATTAATAAAATCACAAAATTCAGTAAGAATACATAAATATACACTTTGAATTACATATATATATATGTGGCGAAACCAACCTCGCCACTATGTTTTGGAGAAGCCTGATTGCTCGCCTGCTGCCTCTGGACTATGGCCCCCGCATTAAAACTTCTATTTCCCCCTGCAGACAGGCTTGTTCGTGCCTTTCTGCCCGGGCGTTCGGTAGATTGAATCTACCGAACCAACACACGAATGGCCGGATCACCTGGGTATGGAGTGTGCCAGTAATCTACTTCCCAGAAGCTGCGGTTTACCGCAGCTTAATTGATGAATGCTGGGTGGCCGTTGTTCGTATAGCCGAACACGTGGCAGCGGCCATTTTAAACTGCCGAATGGCCAGCGGTGTTCAGCTACAAAACTATGGAACCGAAAATGGACAGTTGTATTCACGAACACTGCTGAGCCACCGACCTCCCTTCTCCTGCACTCATTCATACGAACGCCGGTCCATTTGGTACTTTGAGTGAACAGGGCTACCCCAGATAGCTATGCCATGGAGCCCATTCGTATACTGAAAGACTATGTGAAAGACTTTGGCTCCATGGCGATTGAACTGTATGTATGTGATCTGAGCGCCATACGGTAATAATGTGCTCTCAGATCTAAGCTATCTGGGGATAGGTTGAATGTATATGTTTTATGCAGTATTTGTAACATTGTGTATTTTTATGTCTTTTTGCTAACGTGTGTAATGGAGTCTTGCCTCTATCCTTAGAGATAATTGGATTACTTCCCAATTAACTCCAGAATAGAGAGGAGGGATTATAAAGTGCATGTGGGAGTGTTTACTGTTAAACTGTTTCTATTGGTCAGTGTACAATTTGTGTCCCAGTCTTCCACCAGTTCCCCTATGGGAGTGTCCACCTGGTGGAAGACCTGCATAAATACCGGGCAGGTAGCCCAGATTAAACAGATCACTGCTTGACCCTCAATTCGGAGCCTTGTCTCGTTCTTGGGGGAAGTTATTTGTATGCTTTGCTGTTCGACTGCTAGGAGTGTAAACCTTTCAAATAGTTTTTCCTATTCGGGAGTTTGGAGCATTCGTATGGTTCCGGTTCGGCTGTTTGGAGAATTCGTATGGTTTCCTGTTCGGGAGATTGGTGTATGGAGTAGCTGCCTGTGTATCTGGAAGGGAATATCTACTAAACGGTTTTAACCCATTTTATGCCCGGGGTGCCGTTACAATATTTATATATAAAAAAGAAAAATAATCCTGCACTCCATATAACAGAAATATACTTGCCCAGTGCCTGTCAGGTGAGAATACAAAGAGGAATAATCCAGATAGCACTCCTAGGAAATGTAGATAGAATAAAGCTTAGCTTTTAATTAGCTTTAAAAAATGAATCAACGTTTCAATCTGTTACACACAGACTTTCATCAGGTCTCCTGATGAAAGTCTGTGTACAACAGACTGAAACGATTCCTTTTTTAAAGCTAATTAAAAGCTACGTTTTATTCTATCTACAAGTCCCGGGAGTGCTATCTGGACTCTCTCTCTCTCTCTCTCTCTCTCTCTCTCTCTCTCTCTCTCTCTCTCTCTCTCTATATATATATATATATATATATATATATATATATATATAAACCTGGAAAGTCCCGCACTCAATTTGCCAGTCTTGTACTTGCCTCGGTGCTACCTCAGCCGTAATGAATATCGAAGAAAAACGAGTGCACTCCAGAGGTCTTCTTTTAGAAAAATGACATAAATTTATTGCAAAAACGTGTAGTAATACAACATGATCTAGTCGACGTTTCAGTCCACGAAGGACTCTTGATAAAAGTCCTTCGTGGACTGAAACGTCGACTAGATCATGTTGTATTACTACACGTTTTTGCAATAAATTTATGTCATTTTTCTAAAAGAAGACCTCTGGAGTGCACTCGTTTTTCTTCGATATATATATATATATATATATATGTAAGTCCAAGTGAATTTTAATTATATATATATATATACAGTATCTCACAAAAGTACACCCCTGTGTACAGCCTGTATAACAGTGTAAATTTGGCAAAATCGTTGGCAACAAATGTGAGTACACCCCTAAGTGGAAATGTCCAAATTGGGCCCAATTAGCCATTTTCCCTCCCCGGTGTCATGTAACTCAGTGTTACAAGGTCTCAGGTGTGAATGGGGAGCAGGTGTGTTAAATTTGGTGTTATCGCTCTCACACTCTCTCATATTGGTCACTGGAAATTCAACATGGCATCTCATGGCAAAGAACTGTCTGAGGATCTGAAAAAAAGAATTGTTGCTCTACATAAAGATGGCCAAGACTATAAGAAGATTGCCAAGACCCTGAAACTGAGATGCAGCATGATGGGCGAGACCATACAGCGGTTTCACAGGACAGGTACCACTTAGAACAGGCCTCGCCATGGTCGACCAAAGTAGTTGAGAGCACGTGCTCAGCGTCATATCCAAAGGGTGTCTTTGGGAAATAGACATATGAGTGCAGCCAGCATTGCTGCAAAACTTAAAGGGGTGGGGGTGAGCCAGTCAGTGCTCAGGACATACGCCACAAACTGTATCAAATTGCTCTGCATGGCTGTCATCCCAGAAGAAAGCCACTTCTAAAGATAATGCACAAGAAAGCCCTGCAAACAGTTTGCTGAAAACAAGCAGACTAGGGACATGTATTTTTCAGGATACTGACAGGGATCCAATACGCAGAGTGCGGACAGAAGGAGGTACGTATACCGGACCTTAGAATGGCCGGACTAACGTAGGGACAAAGCAAGAATAGTCAAAAGGTAAGCCGAGGTCGAGGGAGCCGGAGGACAGGTAAGCGAGATACAAGCCGAGTCAAAGGAGAGGAGAGGACAACAGGACAAAAGACAAGCAAGGGTCAAAACCAGAAACACAAGATAAAGAACGCGCTGAGTGACTAGCAAGCTAGAACCACGACAGGGCAATGAGCAGTAGTAAAGGTTTCCTTTAAATACCCTGTTACCTAAATAGGGACCACGCCCCCAAAAGGTCCGGAATAGCGGTTCCCGGCACTTCATGTAAATGCCGACGTCATGACGTCGACGCTAGCCGTCGCGTCATAAAAGGGGGAGGAGCTAGCGCGGCCGGCGTGAAAACGGCCGGAATATGCCGAAATGCTAGGGGCAGGGAGCCCCTAAACAGAGAGGATGTCTTCCCTGGATTCAGCACCAACAGGTACCCTGACAGTATTACTGGAACCATGTCCTCTGGACCAAGATAAACCTATTTGGTTCAGATGGTGTCAAGCGTGTGTGGCAGTAACCAGGTGAGGAGTACAAATATAAGTGTGTCTTGCCTACAGTCAAGCATGGTGGTGGGAGTGTCATGGTCTGGGCCTGCATGAGTACTGCCGGCACTGGTGAACTACAGATCATTGAGGGAACTATGAATGCTAACATGTACTCTGACATACTGAAGAAGAACATGATCCTCTCCCTTCAGAGACTGGGCCGCAGAGAAGTATTCCAACATGATAATGACCCCAAACACACCTACAAGATGACCAATGCCTTGCTAAAGAAGCTGAAGGTAAAGGTGATGGACTGGCCAAGCTTGTCTCCAAACCTAAACCCTATTGAGCATCTGTGGGGCATCCTCAAATGGAAGGTGAGGGAGCGCAAGGTCTCTAACATCCACCAGCTCTGTGATGTCGTCACGGAGGAGTGGAAGAGGACCCCATTGGAACCTGTGAACTCCATGCCCATTAAGGGTTAAGGTCACAATTGGTATTTGTACACTTTTCAATTTTAGAAATCTTTTTGCAGCAATCTGCATAAATATTTTTTTTTTTTTTTTTTTCTAAACTGTAAGTTCCAGTTATCTAAACTATGTCAGAACATGGTACATTTATTATATATATATATTTTCTGAAGAACGTTAGTTGACGGGTTGCATTTTTAAAATGTATTTATTATTTCAACAGATATAATGTGGTATTTATTCAGATACTGCTGTGACTCATTGTAAGCTCCACATATGAACATATCCATACATACTTATTATGAACAATCTCAAATTTTAATAAAAGAGTGTTATAGAATGCTAACTCACAAATTGAAGGATACAATTCTCGAAAATGTAAATATGAAGCTGAACCGTAAAGGGACACTATAGTCACCAGAACAACTACAGCTTATTGAATTTGTTCTGGTGAGTAGAATCATTACCTTCAGGCTTTTTGCTGTAAACACTGTATTTTCAGAGAAAATGCAGTGTTTACATTACAGCCTAGTGATAACTTCACTGGCCACTCCTTAGATGTCTGTTAGAGATCCTTTCTGGGTCATGGCTGCCTAAAATGCAATCAAACATTCAGTGTCTCCACCCTCTGCATGCAGACACTGAACTTTCCTCTATAAGGAGATGCAGATTGGCCAGGGCTGTGTTTGAATTGTGCTGGCTCTGTCCCTGATCTGCCTCTTTGTCAGTCTCAGCCAATCCTATGGGGAAGCATTGTGATTGGATCAGGCTACCACGTCTGCTGATGTCAGCAGGCAGTGAGCAGGTCTAAAGGAAACAGGCACAAACCATGCAGCTGCAGACTTGAATACAAGTAATATTTACTATATATAGGGAGGCATGAGGGGACCAGGGTGGCTAGATGGTGGTGTTTGTGTTCCTGGCCCTATAGTGCTCCTTCAATGATGAAATATGTCTAATTGTCTATTTTTGCTTCACTAATATATGCCTTACAATAGTTATTTGTTTTTTACTACAGGATTATTTTTAAAGTTCCTTTACATGACATTTAAACAACTAATTGGTTTTATGAAGGTTATGTTATCTTGTTAGATTAATACAGAGCTTATAATTTAACCTCTTAGTGACCAGACCGTTTTTCAATTTGCTTACCGTTAAGGACCAGTGCTCTTTTTACATTTATGCTTTGTTTGTGTTTAGCTGTAGTTTTCCTCCTACTCATTTACTGTACCCACACATATTCTATAACGATGTTTTCGCCATTAACTGGTCATTCTAAATATACCATTATTTTCATAATATCATATAATCTACTATAAAAAAATTATAAAATATGATAAAAACATTTTTAAAAACACACTTTTTTGAAATTTGAACTCCAAAATCTGTTACGCATCTGCATCCGCAAAAAAATAACCATGCTAAATAATTTCTACATTTTGTCCTAAGTTCCCAATGGTAACATGTTCTTAGCTTTTTTTTTGGAACGTTATAGGGCTATAAATACAAGTAGCACTTTGAATTTTTCCAAACCATTTTTTTTTTCAAAATGAATGCATGTTACATTGTAACACTGATATCTGTCAGGAATCCCTGAATAACCCTTCACATGTATATATTTTTTAAAAGAAGACAACCAAAGGTATTAAACTTGGGGTATTTTGACTCTTTTCATGCAACTATTTTACCACCAATCTATGCCAAATTTTAAAAGAAAAATAATAATTAGTGATTTTTTTTTTAACACACATAGCAATTTAAGAATACATGTACTGTGAACTTTAAGGGTTACTGCCAAAGAACACCCCAATATTTGTTCAGCAACATCTCCTGAGTATAGTGATACCACCCATGTACAGGTTTGTCAGGTTCTCTGGGGGCTAAAAGACCTTATTTGGAGGGTGCGCATTTCTGTTTTCCAGCTTGGAATTTTCACAGCTGGTCATCAGACACCCATGTCCCATTTGGGACATTTTTGAAGCTGACCAATGTAATTTACCCCCATCAGACCATATATTTTTGAAAAGTAGACACCCTAGGGCATTTCCTATGGTGGTATTTTAACACTTTCCATGCACTAATTCTACAACCAGTCTTCGTCAAACTTTTGGACAGTCATTTTTTGGTGTTATTTTTCACACATATTCTACTTTAGGCATGGACTCTTAGCTGCTGTTTGGTGCTACTGCCAAAAAACACCACACTATGTATTCAGCAACATCTCCTGAGTACAGTGATACAACCCATGTACAGGTGTGTCAGGTTCTCTGGGGTCTAAAAGAACTTATTTGGAGGATCCGCATTCCTGTTTTCCAACTTGGAATTTTCACAGCTGGTCATCAGGCACCCATCTCCCATTTGGGACATTTTTGAAGCTGGCCAATGTAATTTACCCCCATCAAACCATATTTGTTTGAAAAGTAGACACCCTAGGGTATTTCAATTGGTGGTATTTTAACACTTTCCATGCACTAATTCTACCACCAGTTTTCGTCAAACTTTTGGATAATCATTTTTCACACACATTCTTCTTTAGGCATGGATTCTCAGCTCCTGTTAGGTGTTACTGCCAAAGAACACCCCAATATGTTTTCAGCAGCATCTCCTGAGCACAGTGATACCACCCATGTACAGTTGTGTCAGGTTTTCTGGGGGCGCATTCCAGTTTTCCAACTTGGAATTTTCACAGCTGATCATGTCCTATTTGGGACATTTTTAAAGCACCTATGTCCTATTTGGGACATTTTTGAAGCTGACCAATGTAATTTACACCCATCAAACCATATATTTGTGAAAGGTAGACATCCTACGGTATTTCAAATGGTGGTATCTTAACACTTTCCATGCACTAATTCTACCACCAGTCTTTGTCAAACCTTTGGGTAGTCATTTTTTGGTGTTGTATTTCACACATATTCTATTTTAGGCATGGATTCTCAACTCCTGTTAGGTGTTACTGCCAAAGAACACCCCAATATGTGTTCAGCAACATCTCCTGAGTACCATTATATCACATATGCACAGGTTTGGTGGGTGCAATGCCAAACTTCAGACATGTGTTTTTCAAATTTAACATATCTTCTTTGCCTATCTTCCTTTTGGGGGCCTTTTCAGATATCCCAATTTATTTTCTTGCCATGAGCGTGGA